CAGCTGTGGCGGCGCGGCGTGGCCGAGGTGGTCGAGGAGCGCATGAGCCGGCGGCCGGCCGCGGGAACCGAGGGCCGCTCGGAGGCCGAGAGCGCCTTCCTGCACATGGGCCTCACCATGAAGGAGGACCTGGAGGCCGTGGTGGAGCGGCTGAAGCCGCTGTTCCCCGCCGAGTTCGACGTGGTGGCGACCTACGCCGAGCGCTACCACGAGCACTTTGCGGCCCACCTGGCCACCATGGCGCAGTTCGAGCTGTGCGAGCGCGACACTTACATGCTGCTTGTCTGGGTGCAGAACTTCTACCCCAAGTGAGCGGGGGCACCCGGGCTGGGGCCCAGGGGGTGGGTGGCGGGTCCCCTCGGCAGGAGGAGTGTCCAGGTATGCAGTGAGTCGTTTTTAGTGAGACCGCTGTGGTCTGAAAACCCAGGGCAGGGGTTTGGACTCAAAGGGGCAGAGCCTGGGCATGCAGGGATGGGACTTGGACACAGGGACTGGGCTGGGTCTGGGTCTGCTTTGCCATTGGAATCCTTAACTTCCTGGGCATCAGCCACATTCTGCAGCTGGGGGAAACTGAAGCACCGAGAACGGCAGGGACTTCATCATTCATTCATAAGCTCCCAGTCTAGGGAGGGGGTGAAGCCAACAAGGACCATCCAGAGCAGGAAGGGGCTACAGTAGGGAAGCCAAGCAGGTGGAGCCCAGAGCAGGGGCCCTGGGCAGGCCTGGGGGAATCAGGGAAGCCAGCCGGGAGGAGGCAGGACCCAGCATCCATACTCTGTAGCAGCTCACAGTCTAATGGATGTAAGGGAGCCAGGCAGGGGAAGGGAAGGGGCAGAGAGGGAAGAAGGTAGGAGGGAGGACGGTGTTCCCTGCAAAGTTCCCGGCATCTTCCAGGGCCTGAGGCTGAGCCATGGGGCATTCCCGGATTTATCTGGCAGGCAGTGGGCGCACCCCCAGGCAGGAGAGCTAGCAGGAATGGGGTAGAGCCAGGTGTCCTGTTGGAAAGACCTTCACAGTGCAGAGTTGCCCTTGGAGCCCATGGCAGAGCTGGTTCTGGCCACCGAGGCCTGGAGCTCCTTAGGTGGGAGGCTGGCTGTGCCCACCGAGGGCAGCTGGTACTCCAGCTGGGAAGAGCCTCAGGCATTCGGAGGCCAGGGAGGCACTGTTGCCACTTGTGTGTCCAAAAATGTGAGGAACAGAGGGACGCAGCTGCATCCAGACTGGGTGGGGGCACAGAGACGGTCAATCTTAAGCCCTCACGCAAACAAAGGCCCCTTAGGAAGTGCCCAGGCTGGGCAGGTCCCCTGGGAGATCTGGGACCCTACAGAGGCGCCAAGAGAGTGAGCTGTGACGCCTCCGTGGAGCAGTTGGGGGCAGCCCTTCCTGCTCAGACTGGCCCACCCTCTGGGGGCAGCAGGGCCGGCCTGGCAGGGGCATGCCTGATGTCAGCCGGACTGGAGTGCATTGGTGTGAGAGGGGAAGCCTGGAAGCAGGGAGATCAGATTTGAAAGGGGGCCGTGGCTGCTGGCTGGAGAAGGGATGGCTGGGGGCCAGGGTGGAAGCAGAGGCGGGGTTCCCCCTGATGAGCCAGGAGAGAGATGGCGATGGCCCTGCACGGGGCCGGAGTGGTCGAGGCTGAGGGATTGCAGGGGCTGTTTTGGAGTGGGGGTGGATGGGGGTGGGGAGAGAGTGAGGGGAGGCACGATGATTCCAGGCAGATGGGCTCATGGTCTGAGACGGGGGCGGGGGGGACATGTGGGTGTCTGGGCCTGTTGGAGACTGGGCTGAGGAGGTGAGCTCTTGCTTGAGAAGTGGTGCTGGGGTGTGCCGTCTTGTTCATGCCAGCCTCCCTCTCCACAGCGACATCATCAACAGCCCCAAGCTGGCGCAAGAGCTGCAGAGTGTCAGGCTCGGAAGCCTCCTGCCCCCTAAGCAGATCCAGCTGCTGGAGGCCACGTTCCTCTCCAACGAGGCAGTGAGTCCACCAGGCGGGGTGGGAAGGCAACGGAGGGGAGGCTCAGTGACAGACAGGACATAGGCAGGGAGCTTGACAGGGACTTCCAGGTGAGCAAGGTGCTTTTGGTCAGTGCTACAATGACCTGCCCCTCCTCCCCCCAGGCCAATGTGAAGGAACTGATGGCCCGTGCCCTGGAGCTGGAGTCACAGCGCTGGGCCAAGGATGTGGCCCCCCAGAGGCTGGATGGCCACTGCCACAGTGAGCTGGCCATCGACATCATACAGGTGCCACAGTCTGCCCCCTGCTGCACACAGTGCACACATACAGCCCATGCGTGTGCAAGCAGAGCCCCACGCCCATTCATTCCCATGTGCACACCTATGCCTGCCTCCAAGCACCTCTTGTTCCAGCATGTTCCACCCCACCCTGCCCCCACCCCTGCCCCTGCCCTTGCCCTAGCCCTAGGCCATGTCCATGTGGGCCCCAGCTCAGCTCACCCACCATGACCCTGCAGATCATCTCCCAGGGCCAGGCCAAGGCTGAGAGCATCACCCCTGACCTGGGCATGCAGATAAAGCAAGTGCTGCTGGTGGAGCTGGCCGCCTTCCTGAGGAGGTGGGTGTGCATACGTGTGTGCATAGCACGGGGCCCTGCAGCCACCTCTCTCAGAGCCACCGCCCCTCCCTGTGCCTTGGGTGGGGATCAAGCAAGATCAGTCCCCCCTCCCTGTCCCTATCATTCTGAGCCAGGTTCCTTTCCCTGTGCCCCACCCTGTGGGCACTGAGAGCCTCAGGTGGTGTCACCTTTACCAGGAGTGAATGCGGGAGATTCCCCCCCACCATCAGCAGATTCCCAGCAGAGCAGTCTCCTGCTTCAAGACGATGCTCCATGAGGGACTGAGACACCTGCACCCCTTCATGAGACTCCCCAGAGTCTTTTGGTCCGCCCCTCTCTTGGTCCTTCCCTCCCCACCCCTGAGGACTCCTCCAGCCAGACACAGCCCCCTCTTTTTCCAAGCTACAGAGGGGGTCTGGGGGAAGGGGTGGGGGCAGCAGAGCCAGCTGGCACCCTCTTCAGGCACCCTGAGGGCCCTGGCCCCACTGGCCTTAGCTTGTGAACCCAGTTACATGATGCTTAGGAGCTAGCGGCCCCTCCTTGGCTGTGGGGAGACAGAACAGCGTTCTGTCAACCCAGGGTGGCCGGGAGGCTGCTATTGTTCCAGTGTTTGTGCTCGTCCTGAATGTGACCCTTCTGGTTTCGACAGCTACCAGCGCACATTTGATGAATTTCTGGAGAGATCCAAACAGCTGAGAAATTACAGGGCTAATATCATTGCCAACGTCAACAACTGTCTGTCCTTCCGGTGAGGATGCCGGGAGAGGTTTGCAGGAGCAGGAATCACTTGGCCTGCCTGCCTGTTGGAGAGAAAGGGTAGCTGGGAGGTGGAGGGGAGGAGGAGCCGCTTAACAAAGATGTGGGATTGAAACTAGCAAGGCATGTGAGGAAATGACCAGTGCATGCAGCAGCAGCAGCAGCAGCAGCAAACACTTATCAAGTGTTGCCCGGGTCAAGCACTCATGCAAATGATTTACACGTCATTTTATCCTTATAATGACCCTGCGAAGTAGGTACAGTGATCAGGCCTATTAAGCAGATGGGCAAACAAGTGTGGAGAGGCTGGGTAACTTGCCCTCAGCAGGGGATGTGGTATAGGTGTGTGCTGGGGCCGTGGAGAGCATGGTCAGTAAAACTCGGACTTGATCTCACAGGGAATAGGGAGCCGTTGAGGGTTCTAGAATGAAGAGATAGTTTAGGAAGTTTTGTGGAGGGCTAACTGGCTCCCTGGGTGTGGGGCTGTAGGCTGGGCAGGGCTGGTGTGACTTCCGTGCCTCCACCTTTCATTTCAGGACATACATGGAGCAGAAGTGGCAGATTCCACAGTATCCCCCAAGTCACCTGCTGGGCCCCCTGAATGAGCTCAAGAGTCACGGCTTTGACACCTTACTCCAGAACCTGTTTGTGGAACTGAAGGTAGTGGCAGCCTCTCTCTCTGGAGCATGCTGAACCTAGCTAGAGCTGCAGGATGGGCCTGGAGAGCACCCCAGGGATGAATGGCAGAGGCAAAGATGTGGGGGACATGCCCCAGGCCTTCACCAAGGCCTGTAGTGAAGCTGCTGAGGCCCAGGTGATAGAGCCCCAGCAGGCTCTTAACCTCACCCACCACTTTGTCCTGGGGCTTGGCCTGGGAGGGGCCGCCCAGGGTTGTGAGGGCCTGGAGAAGTTTCAGTGTCCCTACCCCAGTTAGACCCAGCCCAGTCCCCAAGTCTGCACACACTTTTCCTCCAACTCCCCCAGCCTTCCTGCCCACCTCCTGTCTCCATGCAAACTCCCAGCTCTGGATGCTCAGGCCTTTGGCAGCCGGGATCACATTTGCTGTGGGCCAGGAAATCCACAGAACACCCTTAGTTCCTTTAGCAGAGGGTGAGGCGGGGGTCCCTTGAAAGGAGGAGGAGGGGTTCCCTGCCCAGTGTCCAGGGATGGAGGCCATCATGGCCCCTGGGTGGCAAAGTCCCTAGTGGTGACCCTGGATGACTTGGCACCTGTTTTCTCAGGGATGCAGCCAAGCACAGGCCTTGTTTATGCAGGAATTTACTTATTTAAGGGGGAGGCGGGGGAACAGGCCTCAGGGCGGCAGACAGGCGGTCCTGGCTCCTGAGCTGCAGCTGAATGACCTTGCAGAAGGGCACACAGACCCTGCCTCCCCTTCCTGCTCTGCCTGGCTTCCCTGAGAGTCCTTGAGTCCCCCTCGGCGCTCCTGCTGACTCTGTGTCTGTGTGTTGGGGTGTGCGTGTCTGCGGCTGGCTGCGCTTCCTCTCCGGGCTGTGACCAGACATCCTGCCTCTCTCCTGTCCCAGCCGCTGTTCAAGAGGTTCACGCAGACCCGCTGGGCGGCCCCTGAGGAGACCTTGGAGGAAATCATCGCTGCTGTGGGCGGAAGGTTGCCTGAGTTCTTGGAACTGCAGGACTGTTTCAGGGAGGTGAGGGCTGGCCAGTTAGCTCCATTGGTTAGAGCGCAGCCTTGTCGCACCAAAGTCAAGGGTTCAGTTCCCCATACCAGCCAGTGCCAAAAAAAAAAAAAAATGTTCAGGGAGGTGAGGAGGCTATGGGCTGGTGGCAGGGGGCTGGGGACGTGTGTACACCCACATGCACATGTATGCACTCCCTTGCTCTGGCATCTGCCCCTCCCTGGATTCCTGGCTTTGTGGCTTCAGGGGAGGTGGTGAGCTCCCCGTCAGCCATTGGCTCACCTGGCCCTGGCCGCTTGCCTGCCCAGGAGCTCATGGAGGTGGTACACCTGCACCTGGTGAAGGAGTATATCATCCGCCTCAGTAAGCGACGCCTGGTCCTCAAGACGGCCGAGCAGCAGCAGCAACTGGCAAGGCACATCCTGGCCAACGCCGATGTCATCCAGCACTTCTGCATCCAGAATGTAAGCCCCTGCCTACCCACTGCTGAGCCCCTTGGGAATGGGTTACCGCTTCTCCTCCCAGCCCCTGCAGGGTCCAGGACAGCCCACCAGAGAGGCTTACTGACCTGACCCTCTCTGGGCCCCCGGGGGCCTGTGGGGGAGAGGCAGCCTCCCTCAACCAGACCTGTGTCTGCAGGGCTCGCCCGCAACCTGGCTGCATTCCGCCCTCCCCACCCTCGCCGAGATCATTCGCCTGCAAGACCCCAGTGCCATCAAGATTGAGGTGGCCACTTATGCCACGTCATACCCTGATTTCAGGTGAGAACAAGGGGCACTTGGGAACCTGAGCAGTCAGCATGGCCCTGCCAGACCCCAGTGTGGTCAGGGGCCTCGTGGGGCTACAATCAGGAGCCCAGGCACTGGCGCTCTGCAGTGATGCTATCCTGGCAGCTGACTCTGTTGATGCTGACCACATGCCGGGCACCATGCTGAGATCTTTACCAGGGACTCATTTACTTAGTTCTCACTACAGCCCTGTGAGGCTGACCCTGTTTATCCCCAGTTTACAGATGACACAGCTAGTTAGTGGTAGAGCTAAGAGGACAAAGCCAGGCAGCCTGGCTTCTATACCCTGTGCTCTTAGCCTTATATGATTCTACCCTCAGAGGGGAAACTGAGACCAGAGAGAACATGGTGCACCATTCAGCCTAGTGGTCCTTGGGGGACCCATGCTTTGGGTCCTGGGGCTTCTGTTCAGGAGTAGAGGCTTAGCCCCTGACTGCCTGAGGATCTGGTGAGCCAGGGACATTGTTTCTTCCTGGGCTGCATCCTCTGACATCATAGGGAATGTCTGAGTGGCCTTGACTGGGATTGATCCAGCTTAGCCTAGTCCAGTCCCTGGCTGATGACTCCACGCATCCATTTATTTGCCCATCCATACAAGCACCAGTGTGCTCATCTACTAACCTACCCATCCATCCATACGTCCATCTGTCCATCTACCCACCCCCCATGCCCCCCACCCCCCCCCCTATATTCACTTATAAATGTTGGTTAGCTTTTCCTGCGGCCTGACCTGCTTGTGGGCACCCAGTGAACATCAGGCACCACCCCACTGGGGGCTGTTCAGACGAGCCCTGGCCCCATGGCCCCTCACAGGCCTCCTGCGTTCTGTCACTGCTTCTGCCCTGCCCTGGCTAAGGGGCCGCCCCAGGACAGCTGGAATTGGAGACACTCTGGTTTGTCTGCATGTCTGGTGGGGGCAGGAGCACCTATGTGGAGAGCTGACAGGGCAACACCTAAGAAACTCTTGGCGAATGACTGTTGATGGCATGTGCCCAGAAGGAGGGACAGCATGGCTGGGGGTCCTGGGTCTCAGGTCACCCCTTGTCCAGGGGCCTTTCCACAGTTTGCCTTATAACTGTCCTCTTCGTGGGTGGGTCTCAGTGCCCTTTTCAGCTCCCTAGGGCCAGGGTCTGAGCCCAGGCCTTGAGCTGGGCTTTGTGAGTCTGGACTCGAAGACAGAACTGAGAGGGAAAAAAGGAAAAGATGAGCTCTTACCTGGGGCCTGGAAGGGGGCTTGTGGGGTCGCAGGGTGAGTGGGGCAGAGCCAGCATCAGAACCTGCTGCCCGGTTGCTCATGACTCCTGCTGGCTGCCCCTGGGACTCAGGCCTGGACCCCTCTCTGCATTCCCCAAGGGCTTCCCCCAAGGGTGCTCCCAGGAGGCCATGTCATCCATCACAGCCGGGCCCTAGACCTCCTGGGTCTTCTCAGGTTCACCAGCTGCCTCCCCCTGCCCCCAGCCCCATGCAGGGACAGGCCCCGGGGGTGCCTCCGTGGACCCTGCCACCTGAAAGTCCAGCTGAGGTCTGGGCAGGGGCAGGGTCAGGGACAGGGCAGGCTAGACCTCTGACACTTGGCCGCCGTGTTAGTCTCCTATTGCTGCTGTAACAAACTTCTGCAAATTTAGTGAATTAAAACAAGAACTTGAAGGGCCGGCCCGTGGCTCACTCGGGAGAGTGTGGTGCTGACAACACCAGGGCCACGGGTTCGGGTCCCTATATAGGGATGGCCGGTTAGCTCACTGGCTGAGTGTGGTGCTGACAACACCAAGTCAAGGGTTAAGATCCCCTTACCGGTCATCTTTTTAAAACAACAACAACAACAACAAACCTCCAAGAACGACAACACCAAGTCAAGGGTTAAGATCCCCTTACCGGTCATCTTTTTAAAACAACAACAACAACAACAAACCTCCAAGAACTTGAGACCCGGTCAGTTAGGTCAGTTGGTTACAGCGCAGCCTTGTAACACCAAGGTCAGAGGTTCAGATCCCCATACCGGCCGGCTGACAAAACAAACAAAAAGCCCCGGAAACTTGTTCTGCAGTTCTGTAGGTCACAAGTCTGACACAGGGCTGAAATCAAAGTGTCAGCAGGGCTGCATTCCTTCTGGAGCATTCTGTTCCTGGCTTTTTCCGTTTTCAGGGGCATCCCGTATTTCCAGACTCATGGCCCTTCCATCTTCAGGAATTCTTTCTACAGCACAGCACTTGGACCCCCTCTTCTGCCTCTTCCACTTTTAAGGTCCCTTGTGATTCCACTGGGCCCACCCAGGTAATCCAAGATCATCTCCCTCTTTTAAGGTCAGCTGATTGACAACCTTAATCGCGTCTGCAACTTTATTTTTTGGTGGCTGGCCAGTACAGGGATCGAACCCTGGACCTTGGTATTAGCACCACGCTCTAACCAATCGAGCTAACCGGCCAGCCCTCCATCTGCAACTTTAATTTCCATTTGCTGTATAACCTAATATAGTCAGAGGCTCTGGAGATGAGGGTGTGGACATCCTTGGGGGTCCATTACTCTGCCCACCACAGCTTCCATCCAGCCTCTGTGCTGTAGGGCACCTCGTTCTACCCCATGAAAACGTGAACTCAGTCTCCCTGCTGGGCCTCTGCTACCCCAGAGGCCCTGTGCCCCGTGGGCTGAGTTTCCTCCGGGCAGTGCAGACTCGGATATGACACAGCCTCGCTTACGCCTCTGAGGTGACAAGATGGTTTGCAGGCAGCTCTCTCAGGTCTGTCCTCTTCTCCCAGGTCCCACCTTAGAACTGTGGCCAGGAACTGGCCGGTGCAAATGACGCACTGAGGTCTTTGTACATTTGTAGGATTAGTGTGTTTGATGTTAATTATATTTTTTTATGTAATTTTATCAATACTATTTTTCACACTCCAGGATGTTGCTGTGGAGCAGTTGGGGGGGGGGAGGGGAAAGGGGAAGGAGATGGGATGGAAGAAAGAGGAAGGAGGACGGGTGGGATCAAGGCCTGTGGCACCCCCTCATTCCCACAGGGGACAGCGGGGGGTGGGCTTCCAGCAGCGGTTTGGTCATTGCCGGGTGGGTACAAATGTCAGGGGCGTGTGGTTAAAGCCCTCGCCGCCCACCATCCCAGCTCGGGAACCTGGGGCCCTTCTTGGTGTGGCTTGGTGGTCACCACGGGGCTGGCTGCAGGTGTCTGGGGACATGGCCAAGGCTCTTGTCCTCCACCCTTGGAACTGGTTGCAGGTGGTGGGGGGGATCGCTGAGGCCCCCAGCCCTCCCCGCTTTCTGGCTTGGTAGCCCAGGGGACTTCCAGTCCTTCTAGGTGTTACAGGTGTTCTTTGGTGATGTGAGACCTTTACTAGTTAATATCAAACTTTGTCTCTGGTCACGGGTACTTTGTTTTTTTTCTTTCAGTTCTGTGTTGGATTATTCACTGTTCCCACCACTTAAACTCTGTGCTGGAACTAATTTGCTGTCCTTTGCTTACTTCTAAAATGGGGAACTTCCTGTGGGAACCAGCACTTGAGCCCTGTGGCTGAGCTAAATTGCTGCTTTGCTGCTGATTCCCTGGGGAAGGCTTTTTGTGCAGCTCAGGTTTTAATGGTTGGCTTTTTAGGTACTTCTGACCCTCATGAGATCTAGTGCACCCGGGTTGTGTAGAAACTCTGATCTGGGCCTGAGTCTTTTCAGCAAACTGCACCCCATGCAATCCTGCATTCCTGACCAGTCCCCTCTGAGTGGTCCTGTGCTGATTGGGTGGTGGATCAGCTGTCCTTGCTGTGCCCCAGTGTTCCCCTGGTGGGCCCATCTCCCCCCACCACCTGTGCTGCAAACACTTCCCATTGGATGGGCCATGTGCTGGTCCCTTGCAATGACTCACTGGCCTCTGAGTGGCTCCTTTTTTCAGCTGTTCTGGCTCCTCGCTCCTCTGTGGGTCCACGGGAACCCTATTAGTGGTCTTGCTGTCCTGAGGGCCACCAAGGCCCTCTTCTCCCAGGCCACCTCCAAGCAACTTCATCTGAAGGGCACAGCTGCGGCTTTTGCCAGCTCCTGCTCTGTGCGCTCAGCAGCTCCAGCCTGGAAGTGGCCGAGGCTCAAAACAGTGGGAGCAGTTTTTTCTTTCTCTCATCGTGGTTTCTCCCACCTTCATGAACTCCATAGGTCTCTCCTCTTACCCTGAGCTCTAGCGGCCCCAGCCTGGCTGTCATTGCTATTAATGTTATTTTTGATAGTATTGCTTTTTTGTATGTGTGTACTCAGTACAGGATCTGGGTTTTTATAGTTTGATATAAAGCTGATTTCAAAAGTGGCTATGGAGTTGTTTATTTTGGGGGCTGCAAAGTGAGGTGGGGACTGGGGGCACACTCGGTGGCTTTCTCGGCCTCCTGGGGTCTGGGCAGACCCCATCTTCCTAGTCTCTGTGTCAAATCCCCAGCCCATCCCAGCACACAGAGCGCCTCCTGTGGTCCAGGCAGGAGAATGTCCCCTCCCACTTCTCACTTGTGAGCATGAGCTTTGGAATGTGTGTAGGGCATGGCCAGTGACTTAATCCTTCTGTACTTTGGCTTCTTAATCTGTAAATAGGGTTGACCCTTTGGGGCTTCTCCCACAGTCGTTTACTGAGGATGAGGTGGGTGTGGACTTTGGACCATCATTTAAACTCCATGCAGGGACCCAGGGGCAACTTACTCATATTTCTGCAATTGAGCTGGAAAGCTACAGCTGCAAACAGAGGAGACCACGGCTTGTGTTTAGAGATGATTGCAGCGGCCAGGGAAGTGTGGTCCCTCCTCCTCTGCACCCCACTTCTGGCCTAGCGTTTGGGGAAGAGCCAAGTCCCTGAGGAAGGAAGGGGTAACCTTGACGAATCCATCTCCTAGAGCCCAGGGAGGAGCCCAAGGGAAGCCCGGTGGAGTTGAGGGTCCCGTGGGAAGGGCCTGGGCATCAGCGGGCTGGGGACAGAGGGAGCTGGCATGGGAGAGGGGAGACTTTTTCTCGAGAGTTCCATCTGTGGACCGAGATG